TGTTTATTATTCATGCTAGAATTGTATTAACCGGAAACATAATACATGTGTGAATGCATAGACAAACAAAGTGTCACTAGTATGCCTCTACTTGACTAGCTCTTTAATCAAAGATGGTTATGTTTCCTAACCATGAACAATGAGTTGTTATTTGATTAACGGGATCACATCATTAAGTGAATGATCTGATTGACATGACCCATTCCATTAGCTTAGCACCCGATCGTTTAGTATGTTGCTATTGCTTTCTTCATGACTTATACATGTTCCTATAACTATGAGATTATGCAACTCCCGTTTGCCGGAGGAACACTTTGGGTGCTACCAAACGTCACAACGTAACTGGGTGATTATAAAGGAGTACTACAGGTGTCTCCAAAGGTACATGTTGGGTTGGCGTATTTCGAGATTAGGATTTGTCACTCCGATTGTAGGAGAGGTATCTCTGGGCCCTCTCGGTAATACACATCACTTAAGCCTTGTAAGCATTGCAACTAATAAGTTAGTTGCGAGATGATGTATTACAGAACGAGTAAAGAGACTTGCCGGTAACGAGATTGAACTAGGTATTTGGAATACCGACGATCAAATCTCGGGCAAGTAACATACCGATGACAAAGGGAACGATGTATGTTGTTATGCGGTCTGACCGATAAAGATCTTCGTAGAATATGTAGGAGCCAATATGGGCATCCAGGTCCCGCTATTGGTTATTGACCGGGGACGTGTCTCGGTCATGTCTACATTGTTCTCGAACCCATAGGGTCCGCACGCTTAAGGTTACGATGACAGTTATATTATGAGTTTATGCATTTTGATGTACCGAAGGTTGTTCGGAGTCCCGGATGTGATCATGGACATGACGAGGAGTCTCGAAATGGTCGAGACATAAAGATTGATATATTGGAAGCCTATGTTTGGATATCGGAAGTGTTCCGGGTGAAATCGGGATTTTACCGGAGTACCGGGAGGTTACCGGAACCCCCCCCCCCGGAAGCTATATGGGCCTTAGTGGGCTTTAGTGGAAAAGAGAAGGGGCAGCCCAAGATGGGCTGCGCGCCTCCCCCCTCCCCTAGTCCTATTAGGACAAGGAGAGGTGGCCGGCCCCCCCTCTCTCTTTTCCCCCTCTGCGAATCCTATTCCAACTAGGATTGGGGGGGGGGAATCCTACTCCTAGAGGGAGTAGGACTCTCCTGGCGCACCCTCCTTGGCCGGCCAGCCTCCCCCCTTTAGTCCTTTATATACGGAGGCAGGGGCACCCCAGAAACACACAAGTTGATCCACGTGATCTATTCCTTAGCCGTGTGCGGCGCCCCCAGCCATCATAGTCCTCGATAATACTGTAGCGGAGTTTAGGCGAAGCCCTGCTGCTGTAGTGCATCAAGATTGTCACCACGCCGTCGTGCTGACGGAACTCTTCCCCGACACTTTGCTGGATCGGAGTCCGGGGATCGTCATCGAGCTGAACGTGTGCTAGAACTCGGAGGTGCCGTAGTTTTGGTGCTTGATCGGTCGGATCATGAAGACGTACGACTACATCAACCAAACGCTTCCGTTGTCGATCTACTAGGTATGTAGATTATACTCCCCCCTTGTTGCTATGCATCACATGATCTTGCGTGTGCGTAGAATTTTTTTGAAATTACTACGAAACCCAACAATTTTTCCCCCGACCATCCAACAACACCTTGATTCTCACACTAATTCTTTAAATTTGAATAGATGCTATTGAAAGAACAAAAAAGCTCAAAAGGTGTGATGAGTAAGCAGACTACATTTTCAGTCTTCACACAAGTCCACTCTCAACATTCGAGAAACAAGCATCTAAAAAAAAACCTTTTTTAGGGGTTCTAAAAAAACCATGTGGTAAGCAATCCAAAATATAAAAAAAATAAAAGCATCTAGAAAACATTCGCAAAAACAAGTGAAAGCCCATCTACTTCAAAAAAAGGTCCAAGCCCATGACGTTCGCAAAGAAAGGTCCAAGCCCATCCTTGTGCTGACCTCAAGCCCTCAAGGTGTTCGACGCTTCGACCCCGCGCCGCCGTGGCCTTCATCTCCGCCACCGCTGGCGCTGCGAAGATCCTCGCTCACAAGGTTTCTCCTCTCTTGCCTCTCTGAATCTTCCCGTCAGGTCCTCCGCTTGCCTTCCCCGTCCGCCGCCGACGCAGCAGCAGCACACGAACACGAGCACTGACCGTGTCCCCTGGCAAGTGCTTCCCGGCAGGTTGGTGGCGACCGCCTGCCGCCACTCGAGGGCTTCGAGCTCCTCGGCATGGCGGCGGCGCTCCTCCTCCTCGCGCACGCTCCGCTCGGCGATGGCGGCGGCGATGGCGTCGAACTCCGCGACATAGTCCTCGGGCCCGACGACCCCGCGGCGGCCGAGCAGAGCGGGCTCCTCGGGCTCCTCCTTCATCGGCATGAAGGGGAACGGCGCCGGTAGCTCCGGCTCCTCCTCCTCGTCCGACCACTCCCTCTTCACGGGGAGGAAGCCCGCGGCGAAGGAGGAGGAGGATCCGGCGTACGAAAAACGCGCGGAGGAGAATGACGCACGCCGGCGGTCGAAGCTCGCCGACGGCGAAAGCCCGCGGTTGGTCCACTTCCGCGCGCAGCGCTTCCTCGCGCCGTCGGACCGGACGCGCCGCTCGCGCTCCGGGTCCCTCTGACGGCCGGATCGGCTGCCGGAGCCGCGTCCGGAGCTCCACATTCGCCCCCACATGGCAGCTAGAGGCACGGCGGAGGGTCGCCGGCGGCGAGAAATTGGGAGAGGAGAAAGGGGGATCGGATGGCTCGCGGTGACGGGAGGATAGGGTTTGGACACGCAAAAGGATCGCGGAACCGCACTTACAGTGCTCGGGGCGTGCGGTTTGCAGGCGGCGGCAAAAGTTTTTGCGGGCCGGGCGAGTGTGCGGGCTCTGTTCTGGCCGCAAAATTGGCCCGAGCCCGCATACTCGCCGGAATTTTTGCGGGCCGGGCATTTTGCGGGGTCTGCTAGAGTTGCTCTTATATGATGCCCTGTGCCAAAGAAAAGTGCTCTAAAAAACCTTTGTTAGATCACCGACTACTGTTATATTTGCACATGGCACCACAGCCGTAAGCCTCTTCAATGCCTAAGAATTTCAGAAAATTTCAAATATATTTACCATTTTGTTTCAAATTTACTGTTTATGTGAGTGCATATGAGCTTGTGTGCGGAAAGCAAACATTCGACAAATATTACATTTTGCTAAGACAATATTTTGATCAATAACCTCTCTTCATACTACTTATGTTTGCCTTCATGTAACCTGTACCACGAGATATATTTTCATAAGAATTTAGTTAGTTGTAATTTTGTATTGCATAAACAGTTTGTCTAATTCACATCTAGATGTTATTTAAGGATATCACATCTAACCTCCCACAAGTATATAATGTAGCAACAAGAAACAAAAAAAAACTAGGAAAAGACCACAAATAGAGTGGACATCAACTTGTATGTGACATAACTATGTCACATCTAGATGTGTCCTAGACACACCCTTGCATAAAACATACCCCGTCCATTCCATTTCATTAGAAGTATTTTTTTGCGCCTATGGGCGTATTTGCTTTAGGTAGATTCTGGATTGTGGATTGTTATATGTATTTACCTTTCATCCCAAGTAGATTCCAATTAAACCCCCTCCCCCCGAATTGGTAAGACCATTAATTAATTGTCAGTAATTACCTCTCTAATCAATGTTGTTACCAGAAGCATTTCTATCATAAAGTACCTTTCTAACAATTTTGATCCTTGGGGCGTTGAGGCTTAGGAAAATACACCTACAGAAGTGACCCTTGGCACATTGTCACAATCTTCATAATGTAATTTGACTGCTAATATTTACCACAAACCAAGTGATGATTTAATCATCATCTAAGTCCATTTTTTATGCAATCATATTAACTCGTTAGAATATTTATGCCACTGTTGGAATGCATGTAAAATGGTTTAAGTGAACTAGTGACACATTTTTACCCCGACCATCCAACAACACCTTGATTCTCACACTAATTCTTTAAATATGAATAGATGTTATTGAAAGAACAAAAAAGCTCAAAAGGTGTGATGAGTAAGCAGACTACATTTTCAGTCTTCACACAAGTCCACGCTCAACATTCGAGAAACAAGCATCTAAAAAAACCTTTTTTAGGGGTTCTAAAAAACCATGTGGTAAGCAATCCAAAATATTAAAAAAAATACAAGCATCTAGAAAACATTCGAAAAAACAAGTGAAAGCCCATCTACTTCAAAAAAAGGTCCAAGCCCATGACGTTCGCAAAGAAAGGTCCAAGGCCATCCCTGTGCTGACCTCAAGCCCTCAAGGTGTTCGACGCTTCGACCCCGCGCCGCCGTGGCCTCCATCTCCGCCGCCGCCGGCGCTGCGAAGGTCCTCGCTCACAAGGTTTCCCCTCGCTTGCCTCTCTGAATCTTCCCGTCAAGTCCTCCGCTTGCCTTCCCCGTCCGCCGCCGACGCAGCAGCAGCAGCACACGAACACGAGCACTGACCGTGTCCCCTGGCGAGTGCTTCCCGGCCCTGCCTCCCTCTCCCTTTTCAGCGTGGGAGAGTCGAATTTAGGGCTAATTTTCCCCCATTACTTTGATGCATTTGCTGCGAAACCTCTGTGCATAATCCAAAAGTTTGACCTAGTATTTCTCAACCTAATTTTTGGTGCCTGTTGTGATCTTTGCAGCCGATGATCTTATCAATAATGCCCGAGTGCAAGCCATCATCTGGGGTCCTCAAACATCGACAGAAACAGATTTCCTCTCCTACCTGGGCCGCCTCCACCGCATTCCGGTCCTCTCCTTCGGCATTTCCCCAAATTCCTGCACCTTCTGGCTAGAAGATCCTGCAACAGCTTCCAGGGGTCACAGCAAGATCGGCTTTACACTTGACAATGACACTATAACATTTCTTAGTCCAAAAACTGGTAGTAGACGAAATGGCAGGAAATTACAGACAGGAAAAGCGAGGATGAACTGCAGAAGCCATAATATGACGATGCTCAGGATTGCTGTGCCGCAGAAAGAAGGTTTTGAAGATTTTGTGCATGTTGCTGATCCGAATACCAGTTACCAAAAGGTCACTGGCTACAGGATTGATATCTTCGAAGCTGCTATGAAGCAGCTACGTCGTCCACCACGCTATGAGTTTTATGTCTTCCATGGTTCCTACGATGCGCTAGTAGGCAACGTGTCTTCAGGGGTTAGTGAGCTTTACTCATACATACTTGCATGGTTTGACTTGTAACATTTACTTTTTTGCTGCTAGATCCATTTTGACCCCTATTTTCTGGTTGATAACAGGTGTATGATGCAGCAGTTGGTGATGTTAGCATAACTCCTGATCGAGCCGCTGACACAGATTTTACAATGCCGTACACACAATCTGGAGTGTTTATGCTTGTGCTCGCTGAGGACGAGCCAGAAACAGTTGAGTGGAAATTTGTGAAGCCACTGAGTTCGGCACTTTGGTTTACAACTGTGGGCTTCTTCTTCTATACTGGCTTTGTTGTGTGGATAATTGAGCGCTCCACAAATCAAGAGTACCAAGGATCAAATTTGAGACAGTTCAGCACCGCTTCTTACTTTGCTTTCTCTACTTTGACATTTTCACATGGTTAGCACTTCATACATAAACTTCTTGGCAATACTTGATGTCTTATAAGAGATTCAATTAGTTTACTACAGTAGTCATGTACGAAGTTTCTTGGTTATTCCATGCGCAGCTCAGACTATTAGAAGCCCCTTGTCAAAAATTGTTGTGGTGGTATGGTGCTTTGTGGTTCTGATTGTAGTGCAGAGTTACACAGCAAGCTTGTCAGCCATACTAACCGCAAAGAGCCGCCGGCCTTCAGTGACAGATCTGAACCAGCTCCAGCTCAGGAATGGCTCTGTTGGACACCAAGAGGGGTCATTTCTGCGCTCCATCTTGATAAAAAATTATTATTTCGACAAAGATAGGTTACAGAGCTACATAAAGAAAGAGGACTATGCTGATGCTTTGAGAAATGGATCGGTATCAGCTATCGTTGATGAGCTTCCCTTCTTGACATCATTCCTCTCTGATCCTCGGAATAAGGAAGACTTTAGGATGGTTAATCTCATGTACATGACTCCTGGATTTGGTTTTGTAAGCTTCTCAATCTAAAGCTTAGTATATTCAGAGTTTTGTCCTTTTAAGTGCTATGTTGCATCCTAGCGACAGAAGCTAGTTAGTACCATCATGTTTTTTACCTTCAAGTATGGATTTTCTAAGCATCGTCATACATCTACCTACATCCATTAATAGTTTGAATGTACTGCACCAAAAATTCTCACAAACATACTTACATATTGTGGTGCTAACTGCTAAGCATATGATTACCCACAAAATATATTTTGGCTTTTGAGAGAAAAGAAAAGAACGCACTGGCATATACAACCACTTGTTCAATTGTATCATGCTTTTTTTACCTCGATCACGCCTATCATTTTGTCTCAAGATGTGATAATATCATGATTGTTTTTCGACTATGTACATCTCCATGCCACTAAATTATTGAAGTTACGGGTTTATCTACAGGTATGCTTACCTTTTATCTGCAGGCATTCTGTCTAGGTTCGCCGCTGGTGCATGATCTTTCTACTGCCATCTTGAAAATAACAGGAAGCGATGAGGGATTGAGGATTCAAAGAAAGTGGTTAGGCGCAGATCCACTGTTGTCGGCGGCCAGTGACGGCAGCCCCGACCCCGGTTCCACACAAATCAATTTGCCAAGCGTCGCTGGTGCCTTCGTCATCACCGGAGTTATCTCAACTCTCATGTTGCTGGTAAGCATTGGGAGGCTGATTCATGCCAGCCGCACCAGCGGGCGAATATCCGATGTGGAAAGTGTCAATTGTCATGGTGGTGACAGCGTCGGCCAAGCTTCCGTTCACTTGGAGAATGGCAGCATAGGTCACAGTTCTGCTGCCTCTGATCAACCCCTCTGTGAGGCCGTGAATAGCGAGTCCCATGGGCGCTTTGAGAATGCTGCCGGTCAAGAGGCTTGTCCAATGCAGCAGAATGGCATGCAGAGCGGCTCTGCGACTGCAGAATCCATCCAGATTGAGATGAGAACTGTCTGAGATGAAGTTGATAGGGAAGTGCAGTATCCTCAAGCTGTGTTGTGAACTTGTGATCCTTATTTTCGAGTACCTGTTATGTTGCCTTGAATTTGTGATGAATACGAATAGTAGTGTTTAGCAGCGTGTAAGGTTTTGCCACAATCAGCTACTTTTGTAAACTAATAATACAGTACTATTGTTTCGCGGAGTGGGTCGCTCACTCGGTCGATATATTTTTCGGGTTTTGGCATGAGGGATATAATTAACTCTTATGAACTAATTAACTCTTATGAACTAGTGATAGATTTCCCTTTGAAGTATGTACCCAGTACTTTTGATCTTCAGGCCTCTGCAAGCGGATGCACACATCCATCTTCAGTATGGGTTGTTTCTAAACTTTGTTGTCCCGCTTCCTATTCCCCGCCCTTTCCCATTTGTGAATTGCGATGTCACGTTGCAGCTCGTAAATCTCGCCCCTCCTCCAGTTCCTAAGGACTCCTGGGATATGATCAGTATGGACTTCATCAACGGGCTCTTGCAATCCGTCAATTTGAATTGCATGCTGTTTATAGTGTACAAGCAAATCAAGTTCGCTCACTTCCTGTCGTTTGCTCATCCATATACAACTTCTAAGGTAGCCCTCCTCTGAATGAATCAAATCTACAAGCTTGATGGCTTTCCGGCGCTATCGTCTCCAACTGCAACCTAGCCCTCACAAGCCATGCACCTGGTTACCACGTCTCGCAGCTGCGTCGTGCCCTGGTTCCTGGTGCACATATCTCTACCAAACTTCCCATCTGTTCTGACATTGCGCGAGTGCCTTTGCAGCTTTGCTGTCTTACAACAACGTTGGCACAAGTGAAATAACACTTGCTCCATTCTCTTTATTAATTACTCATATAATCGCATTAGCTATAAGGTCTTGACTGTAACAGCAGGAGCTCTGCCTTTTCATTATAGAGGAGGAAAACTTTTTACAGCACACTAATCAGAAAAGCAAAAACAACAGACCACACCCAGCGCCTAGAGAAGCCTCTATCGCTCAGCCACATCTCATCCTATACATTCATTCTAGCAGTACCGTTTATAACATCATTCGTACCGTTTATAGCATCATTCATCAGCTTTGGTATAGTAGATGCTATCACACATACAGTCATACTCGATGGAATTGTTTGATCTAAAGGGGATCTTCTATAATTTTGCACATAAAGGGTTATTTCTTGGTTTCGTCCTGTCATTAATAACTTGATTATTTTTAGATAATAGTAGATAGAAAGAACGCTCATAAGGAGTCTTCATCTCTAATCAACCCCGCCAAAGCTACTGATGCCACCTCCCTCTTTTTCCGATTTTATTATCTTAAAATATAGCATCAAGCAGATACAAAGCATTATGAGTAATATCCGACCTCTGCATAAATAAGATGCACACAATCAAATCCGAAAGTCTTGATAAATAAACTGACAAACTGGCAACAGTAGAGTCCTATAGACCGACACTATGCCCATGCCCATGTCGAAGGAGATGGTGGGTCAATCCCTAGGTTATGTTACCATTCATATTGGAAAAAAAAACCTCCATAGCCACCTGCTCCAATCACGTACACACCGGCTTGAACGACGATTGGTACTCCGGTTGTTGTAGCATAGACCACGTGCGTAACAAAGGGCATACACCGAAAAATAAATAGTAGAGGAGAAGCTTTTTTGTCATTAAAAAACAAATCGTTTCTACATAGTCAAAGCGACCAACTCAAGTCATACGCTCCCACCCTTATTAGCGTTTTGAACCTATTAAAATACCGTCTAACGAATGATAAAAAATATTGACAACACTTATGGAGGATACAAATTTGACACTATTTGGATATGTAGCTTCTCCCATAAGAGGTCATGTCTCTGACAGAAAATAGTCTGATCGGCTATAGCTTCTCCCAAAGAAGTGAGAACTGTTCCAATTGCACCTCGTTGTCAATCCTTTGCAATCCCTGCATCCATCGCCCATTGTGCAGGGTACTATTCTTCACCGGCAGCTTCTTGAAGCGAGCTAATTTGAATATCTCAGGTGCCAAAGAGCAAGGAGCATCGCCATCAAGCCACCTGCCCCTTCAGAAGATTGCCAAGATGCCGCCCCCAATACAATGGATGTGCAGCAAGAAAAGAGCTGCTTATCAGTGTCATCACACTGTGTCTAGGTGCCCTTCCAAGGCCTTTTCTCCTCGTCCCATCTGAACCACTCCCACCACAGGCGAAGAGCTCGACCGAAACACCGAATGTCCTTTATACCCAGACAACCAAGTTTTCTCTGGCTCCGAAAAATATCCTTTTTCGCAAAGTCCAAAAAAACTAGAAAACGGCAACAGGCCTTTGGCACTAGATTAATTTTGCAAGAACACAAAACTTTTTTGAAGTTTGCCATTAAAACTTTCCGACTTCTTTACTATTGTTTTGCTTTTACTGTTCATCAGGGAGCATTTGAGGTCAGGATTAGACAGTCTGAGGTCCGGTGTAGATTTCCTTCGTTTTCTTGAGACGATGAGGTTAGGGTTTTTCGTCATGCGGCAAGACTTGGTGTTAGGTACTTTAGATCTATTCAAGGGTTCAACGGCGACGGCTGCGGCTCCAGGGCGTTGGTCCTTACGGGCACGTGCACGACAATTTGCCGGTTGTCATCGACAAGGTAAAGCCGGCTCCGATAGGGGAGCGGCAACAGCGGCGCGTCGGTGGCTCATTCTGGCGATGGTAGTGATTGTTGGGTGGTCTTGGGATCTTGGTGTAATTTTTATTTTGTTTGAAATGCTTTGTACTTTCAATAAAATTTGACAGTACATCTGAATCATTTAAAAAAACACTACACGTGATAAATTCCTTTTGCTGACAATCTGATACACATACGATTCACACGATCATCTGTTCTGCATTTACATGGACGCAACTGCTGGTGCAGGTTCATGGGGGGACTGCGTTGTAGAGTTACCCCCAACGGGTTCCTCCGGGACATGGGCAGAAGCTGCGTTTCCCTCGGAATCGGTGCCATCCGCGGGAGTAGAGTGAGAGTCCCCCATGGCTGCTTGCTGCTGATCTTCGGCTCCGGTGGCCAGACCCTGCAGACGACTCAGCTCCACCGTTCCCTGGCCGTTGCCCACAGGCTCGCCTCCCCGGCCTTCGGAGGCGTCCAAGCGCGGAAGCCATGAGCGCAGCCATCGGCATACACTCTTCCAGGAGACGAACGTGGCGAGGTGGATGAGGAGCATGAGGCACGAGACGACTGCGTTGACGAGGAACAGTCCGCGGAACCTCCGTAGCTCGAGCCTAGTGTTGTCGACGTCCTTCCTCATCCTCACGCACGCCCCGGGGTGGGTGAACCACTTGTTCTCGATGCGTGTAAGCATGCCGTCCTGCTGCATCTCCAGAATGGCGCCCGACACGTCCGCCACCAGCGGAGATCCCACCGGGAAAGCCTGAAAATCAAGGCAAACTCATCGATCCTGAAAGGAGGTGGACCGGAGCATAAAATCTGTAGAAATTTGCTGGGAGAGGAACACACGTACAAATCCAAACCCGCCACTTTTGTAGATCGGGCTGACCATGGAGTAGCCTTCGCAGTAGCGCGACAGGAAGAGCTTCAGGTAGGGCACCTCGTCGAAGATCGCACTGACTCCTCCGTTGCCCGACCCTTTGCGGAGGGCGTCGGCATATTCTTCCATGGTGGAGTACCTCCTGAACTTTGCGTCCTGGAAGCCCATGTTCTTGAGGATGTCCTCGACTAAGGAACCATCCTGAAAGCCCACGTAGTCGCTCTCCGTCCAGTCGTTCATCGTCGGCTGGAGCTGCCGCACCGTTAACATCGACGTCAGGTTTGCCGTGTAGTTTGTCGTGAGGATGAGCACGACAAAAACCCACATGATCACTACCAGCTTCGACAGGTTGCTCTCCAACTTCTCCTCTGCAGAGATAATTGTTGCACGGTCCGTGTGTAGGTTAATTTGCACGTGGTTAGATTTGCATGCATGTATGCAGCTATAGGAAAAGAATGGGGGGAATTTCGTACTGTGGGAGAAAACCATGGTTGAGAATGCAAAGTAGAATAGGACGCCGAATTGCTTCCAGGGTGTGCCGCGGAATCGAGGGTTGATCCTGTGCTCGATCGTCCACACGACGAAGCCGGTGAATAGGAAGAAGGCAAGGGAGGTGAACCAGAGCTCTGGAGTTAGCGGCTTCACGAAGATCCACATGCTCTTGCTGCTGTCCTCCTTGGGCACGATCATGGAGTAACCCGTGTCAGTGAACGGCGTCGTGAAGTCAACCAGACTCATCCTGGCCGCAGTGATCGTCACGTCCCCAACCACCGCATCGACTTTCTGCATGCAACAATTGACGAGCGACTTTAAAGTTCAACCGGTTGATGAATAGATTGGAAGTTTCTCGTAAAAAAAAGGTTGACATATTTCAGGCACAAGTGAAAAATAGAACTACATATCATGGAAGGATTTTTAGTGTTGGCACGTGCACTGACCTTGTCGTACACCTGTTTCACAAGTTCGATGTATGATCGTACCGACTGGGCGGTTGACGGTGCCTGAAATCAACCGGTTGAAAAATACAGCTATTAAATCGTCATCATGGAAGGATTTTTAGTGTTGGCACGCATACTGACCTCTTCGGCCCTATATAGGACGTAGGTGTAATCAGCAAACGAGTATCCCAGTCTCTCCATGGCCGCCTCGAACACCTCTATGCAGTACCCCGTCGCTCTTCCGGTGCCGCTGCTTGGATCGTGGCCGTGGGTAAAGTTCACGAATTGGCCGCCGCCGAACAAGTCCCATCCCGGCACCGCGACACGAAGCGGCGGTGACTCGCTCAACCCGGTCGGTACAGCCGCTGTCTTTCCTGGCCAAAGGATCTGCTTCAGCTTTTTCCTTCCTCTAGTAGAGTACAGGTTCGTCGAGATGCCGAACTCCGGCGTCCAGAAACCGACAGTCCTTGAGCCTTTGCCGCTGATATTGACGATCTCATATG